CATTAACCTCTGTTTAGCCTAATCCCCCATGCTGATCATGAGTAGCCCCCTGCGTGTGCACTTTTTTCCGCAAAATACTCACTGAATAGACGTGCTCCTTGCTACACGTCTGGTTCCTTGCTACTGAATAAATGTTCCGTGCTACACGTCTGTATCCTCTGTAGCTAGGCTATAGCTTAGCTGGTTCTGGGAGTCTAGCTAGACGTAGAAGAATCTGTCACAGAGATTTCTGTGGCAGTCAGGCTTTACTAGGGTAGCAACCCGCTACAGACATCCCTACCTTTATTTGACTGTCTTGGAATTTAATTTTTAATTAAAGCCCCTATTGTTATTTTCGCTAAATAGTATAGTCGTGCTTTGTCCGGAAAGTCCCAATAATCATTAAGGAATATTTATATTTTACCCCTTTAATCTTTCAAAAGGTTCTACCACATTGTGAGTAGTACTCTTCAATGTTCAGTTAAAGAAGATTTAAGTTGATATTTTATGGCCAAAGCTGTACTGACACTGGTTGATTCCGACGGCTCCACCTGACTGTGGCGGTTTTCCGGCGGAAAATTTCCATTCACATCGAACTTGAGAAATGAGCCGAGAGGTAGGAACTTGCATTTCCTTAGCCTTCATTCAATTATGAAATTAGTACTTTTTGATTCCTAGTGTTTCTCACTTTACCCTGGTTCGGAAAATAAAATACACAAGAGTAAAAGAGACATTAATTAACCAATTCATATTGATCTAAATTAAAATGAATTCTTGAATTATACTTTAAGTTTGCTAACAAATTCTTAGCTAAAAAATGTAGCTTGAGATACCAGTAGAGAAATGAACCCCGTAAACAGACTAGGGGTTCAAAGGAAATCCTTAAAGAGCAATAATCAGCTGAACGCTGACTGAAATCAAATAAAGGATCATGGTTATATGGTTAACGGTTTGAACAAATCAAGTTAAGATAATCTTCAATCGATACATATTTTTACTAAGTTGCCTATCAGACCATTTATTTTGCGAAGATTCGAACTATGAGCAATTCTCCACATAGAGGTCAATATGCACCCAAAAAGACAATTTAATTCCAAATTAAAAATTATTCAATCCCACATACGGGCGGAAACAAAATTAGTAAGGCAACTTCAAATGGAAGCTAAACAGGTACTTGAAGAGAGAAACCTGATGGATGATGAAACCTTTAAAAATATCATTTTTGCATTAATTTAAACTAATCACGAAAGTATCATTGACTTTCTGCGAATGAAAGTGAGCTAAGAAGTCACTAGAGGATAAATCACAGTAAATTCAAAGAGCATCAACAAATTGGTAGACTTCCCTCACAATTAGATTGGTATTTCGTAATAGCGAGAAAAGGGAATGGTAGTAAATTTATAAAAAAAATTTTTTCCCAGATAATGTAAAGGAAACCTGACTGAAGAACTGTAAAATTTAAGTAATAGTTGATCTGGTGACTAGGGTGCTCAGATAAAACAGGTTATTGTTTCTATAAACCTCAGTTCTGATTTTAACCTGCGATTTTCTTTTAAATTGGATTCAAAGATATTTGCTAATATGAGTATATATATTTTACAAATTATGAATTTTAATAAAAATCAAATAATATCATTTGACGTGATAATGATTTATAGTTTCGTGTCGGAATATAGGCATCAATTCAAAATTATAATGATAATGCTGCTTAAAACCATTTTCAAAGGATTATTGAGCCCCCGCGCCATTTTGGTCTTTGAAGATGAATGTGAGTTCTACTCATTCAATTAAATTGTTTTATAGCGGTAAACAAAATCTTCTGTCTATTTTAAATCTAGTATTTCATAAGCATTCGATCGATTTTTTGGTAAATTCTAAAATTGGTCAGTTTTGCTACTTGTGAGTTTTAGGGCTAGTTGGTGACTTTAAAGACCGTAGTGCTAGAGGTTTATTTTCTTAATATTTCGAAAAGAGTTATTTCACAACAAATTATCATGTTTTATTACCTTAGGATAAAATCGAAAATCCGGAAGGAGATCCCACTTTAGATAGGTCTGAGGATTCGCAAAACTCCGATGTTATAATAGTCAATGACGAAGATTCAGATGGTAGAAGTTACGAAAATAGTTTAGATAGTTTTGCTGGCGAGGATGATGATGAGGAATTTATTGACCTTTCGGATGAAGACGACTGTGAGATTATGTGGAAAAATCCAGCCTTATTGGGTTCTCTAATATCCGCGGGTTATCGTAATCCTCGCCTTCTTCTCACTCGCCTTTTCAAAATTTCACCTGAATACCTCCCTCCTGATCCATGTGAACATGAGCTCTGGCGCATCCTGTCGTCTCTCTTTGCCGAGAAATCTTCCCGCAAACCTTTAAAACAATTTCATTCTCTGGAGGCTGCTATCAATCTTCTGAAAGAAAAGTCTAAAATCTTGGTTTTAACAGGTGCTGGAATATCAGTATCTTGCGGAATTCCAGATTTTAGATCAAGAAATGGTGTTTATGCTCGGCTTAAACAGGATTTTCCCGATCTGCGTAACCCACAGGATATGTTTGACCTAAAATTCTTTAAGTCGAATCCCAACCCATTCTACACGTTTGCTAAGGAACTCTTTCCAGGCCAATTCAAACCGTCTTACACCCATCGATTCATTCGGTTACTAGAGAAAAAGTCAAAGCTTCTACGCAATTACACTCAAAATATTGATACGCTGGAGGAGATTGCGGGCATCTCGAAGATAATTCATTGTCATGGTAAGGACTCTTAGTTTAAAATTTTTATTACTCTTTGCTGTCAGTGCAATAAATTTCGAATTCACCATCTAGATCCATGTCATCTGCTCATTTACCTGAGAAATTAGCAAATCGTTCAGAATTATTCTGTAATATTTATAAATGATTAGGGTTTATCAAATTCTTGGTGTAGAATATGATGTTACAGCCACATTACAAATTGGAAACTTGTTAAACGGGCATTAAATCGTGATTATTTTGAATTCTCGCCAACGTTACTGTTTTCAGAACGCGGTGTTTACCTTTGTCACGATTTCATCCTATATTGTTATTATCATTATTTTTACTCAGAGCGATGGTAGCACATTTGTTATTTGCCATCGTGGTGAGCAGAAATGGTCCTGTTAGGAAGGTGGTTTGAAAGAGTTGAGATTCAAGGATTCTGGAGATCGCTGCTTCATCTGAATTAATCTGGCTGACAGTTTTTTTTGGAATTTGACCTCTTTGTTGCGGAGCCTAACATTATAAAGTCAAAATACATATTCAATTAGTAGATAGGTTTGTGCATGTACGTTTTTTTATTTGAAAAGCTTCAAAATTCATTCAATCAACCCGTGATGAGTGGTAGAAAGTTCTTTACTTCTACCTATTTGTCAGTATATTTCTACCAACTCCTTCCGCATATGCCAATTCTATGATGTCGTTGGTTATGTTATAGACAGTAGCTAAGGTCGGTTAGAAGAATGAAGAAGATCTGAAATAACAGGTAACTGATCTAGTAGTAACTAATAAATCGGTTCATAAGAAGTGAAATCTGGGAACTGTGGTTAAAAGGACTGAACAATCTCGGTTCAACTCCCTGGTTGTTATTTCTCCATTGTATGCTACTTTATCCATTTGTAACTAAATTGCAATAGTTACGGATAGATTGTGGAAAGTCGCTTCGGGGATTTTATATATTACGGAAGCTTTCAATGCAAAGCTAAGATTGGAAAATGCACCTGAATTGTTTGCCCAATCATCGCATTACATGTCGCCTCTGACTGCTTAACATTCTGGCGAAAGACCGGCAAAAGTCTAGTGAAGTTTTGATCTTCAAAGAGCAATTAAATTGAAGACGACTTTCTTTATTCAGACCTGGTTTAGTTTGTAGCTTTGTAATATCTTCGTGTTTATTCGTTATAGAAACATGAAATCGACTTCCTATAGTTTCAAAATGAATCATCACAAAAACTTGCTCATGTTGTTTTAACATAAGATGGCTTCCTAGAGTTTATGCCATACTATCATCTCTGCTTTTAGGTTCTTTTGCGACGGCATCTTGCCTGACTTGTCATAGCCAGTTGCCTGGTGAAGAACTTCGTGAGGCGATAATGTCTCAACACGTCCCCTTTTGTCCCCATTGTCGTCCTGACATTGGACTCAAAGGCATCCCTGCGGTCCTTGGCAAAACAACTGAGCCTGAGCCTGAAGAAGGGGTTGTTACTCCTCTCGGTCTTATGAAACCGGACATTGTCTTTTTTAGTGAATCCTTGTCTCAAGAATTCCATTATACTCTTGAGAAAGATGTGAAGGATGTGGATCTTGTTTTAGTCATGGGATCGTCTCTCAAAGTGCGACCTGTTTCCCATATTCCCAGTAAGTTATTTCCCGAACTAAATTTAATTCACATTAAAAGACAAATACACGCTCTAGGTGTCCTGTGTTCTGTTTCGTCATCTCTTTTATACCAATACCAGTCAGTAAATTCCATCCAATATACTTTAATTTAGCGGAGCATATGATGCTTTCTTATCTACAAACCTTGATGGTACATTTATTCAAAGCACTAAGTGGAAGTTGAGAGTTTTCCATTCGTAGTTCTTGGAACAGCCTTGTTTAGTCCTTGTTCTTAAAACTGACGAATCCGGTTTGGGCCGTTTCTTTGATATCGAATTTAAAATCGCCATGCTTGCCCATCATTCACTAAGATATAATTATATTCGCATGGGCTTCTATTGAATCACATTTCGACATTTTTATGAGCTTCATAAAGGGTAAATTTGTACATATCACCACCCGTCATACTAATAACTGGATGTTGCCAATTAATTTAGAAGCGTAAACTGACATGTCGCTTTGAAGTCCGATGATTTGTTTTATAAAGCCGAATAAATCGATTCCCCATCTGTTAGAGGAGATTGTTAAGAATAACTTGTATAGACATATAGAAGATATGAGTTGGGACCCCTATCTACCAACCCTCTTGTTGATCATCTACTTCACTGTATCTGATTCGAAAGTGACCGATGTTGCAACATCTGTTTTATTGACTTGCACTCCGATCACATCACCACCAGTACAATTGGAGGGAAGGTTCTTTGCTTCACTCCTCTTGAACAAGAGAGTTCGGAAAACTCGCGATTATAAATGCTTCAATTTAGCAGATTTGCAGCCATTGGAAACTAATAAGCTTAACATTCAGGCCCAGAGTAAATGTTTCGTCTTTGTCTTGATTCAATGACTTATCTAACTACTGTAAAACAAAATAGGACATAATTGGTGACTGCTTTAAGTTATAGTGGGAAAGGAGTTTTTGATGTCTACAAATACTTTAGTTGAGGAGTTAAGTTCATAGTGCAGGTATTAGGTAACGGACTGAGAGCGGGCCATATCCGCGATGAAATAAAAGCAGTTGAACTCGATAAGGAAAACAGTAACATTTACTGATGTTCATAAATTGTTTGCCTCGATCCTTGCTATAGGAATCTGATTTCCGCATCTTTAGATAGCTTACCCAATCATGTGCCTCAGATCCTCATCAACCGCGAGCCCCTCTCAAACCACCAGTTTGATGTGGAGTTGCTTGGTGAATGTGACGTGATTGTCGAATACCTATGCAAACAACTTGGATGGGATGTCGATATGGACGATGCCAGTGTAGAATCAGTGAGTTCTCTAGGTATATTTTCTTGTGCACCAAGTTAATTACAGAACGTGTTATTACTAGCTCACCAGCAAAAGATATAATGTTAGTGTTATATTGCACATATTAGTCGGTACTGTCTAGCTATTTTGCTCTTTTCTTTCTGTAGCACAATTTGCGTTCTCTTCTGCTAATGGATAGTTCATCTTATTCAGGTACTTACGCCATAAGTTGTCTTTTTAATTTACTATAATTAAAAGACGAGAGAGTATTTCTGCCAGGACTGTGACTAATTATGATAAAATTATAAGCAGATTGTTGCGAGTAAAGCCACGTAAGCGTGTCGAACTAGAGAACGATTTTCTAGTAAATGTCGCTCTGGGTTAATTAACCTTATCCCTCGTCAGTGGTTATTATTGCTTCATGCAAAGGACTTTGGAAGTGTAAATACAGTGATTGGCATGTTTTAAACAATTTTGCCAAAGCACAACACAAGGTAAAGGCAATTAATGGATGCCAAACCGTTGAAGAATTAATCGTCTTGACAGTTTGTAATGTAATTATCATTTGACAGTTGAAAAGTAACTTTACTCAAAAAAGAACAACTTTAGTAGGCTATAAAAGAAAGTTTCGAAATCAAATATCAAAAGCATAAATTAAATAAAATTGCTGTAAATTATTTCGAGAGAGTGGAGCTTGAGCTTTGATACTTCTAGTTAGAGGAGAGGTGAGGTAAGAGGAACACCAATGCTGCATAATAGTGGCAGAATGGAATGTTGGGAGCTGGGATATGAAATGGTGTCATAAGTGTGGTAATCAAACATTTTTTACATGAAAAATTTTTCTAGGTACCAGAAGGAACACCTGTAAAGGAGAACTTGAAGCAAGTGGATTTGCTTGTCCCAATGAAAGCAGCTCTGGAAGACTTAGCTATTCAGCCAGATCTCAGTAATGCACCTACCGCTACTTCCATTTCCGGCGAGTCTGCTGATCAACCTGTTGAGAAACGTCCTTCAATAGATGAACAGGAGAATGTTTCCACTTGTTTTGGTCCCGAAGCCAAGAAAATCACGGATAACGACACCAAAGATACTATTACGGAAACTGCAGTGGCCGAAGCGTATACTACTGGTAAAATGGAAGGAATGGAAACCAAAGAAATTCCGGTTAAAACTCAATGTGCTAATGCAGAAACTTCAGGATCCGATGCACATAATGTATTAGTAGAAGGCAAAGAAGAACAAGCACGGCAGCGGTCAGAAGGGACGGCACGGTGTCCGATTGATGTAGATGAAGAGGGGAGCGATTCGTATCTGGATGATTTTAATGACGATGGGCAAGAGAAATTAGACAATATAAAAATTGTCCAACTGGCCAAGTATTTGCCTGGTATGTTTGCTGGCTCTACATGATTGCTCTGCTCAGCGTTCATGTCTTCATTAAAGTCATTTTACGAGCCTCGTCGAGTTAGGCTTTGAGATATGCCCTTGAAGGATATAAGGAGTGTTTCCACGTGTGAAGACTAAGGGTTAATTAGGACCACACGCATGTTACACAGCCATAAAGGAGTATGTTGATAATAAGCATCTGCGCTTAGTGAATGGGGACAGGATTGTGGTAAAGGGAGTTGATGGAGCTACTTCAAAAGTTAAGAATTTATTATGTCCTTAATAGTTTGTTTGCTTGCAAGTGATCCTATGTTGCATGGCACTTGCTATTTTGGCCTACTCCCAGTCCCTCCTTGTCAATCCGATAATATCTAACGGTCGCACTAGGTATGTCAATAGAGCAAGGTAAAAAACTGAGGTTGGGATAACAAGTAGAAGCCGTGTTGGTGCTTCTTCGATATCTTTGCAGCTTTCACATAATTCTGTTAGCAGAATTCGTTTGCCAGGTACTGTTTTTCTGAGGGTTAGAAATTGTACCCCTCATTGGACAAGCTATAGTTAGCTTTTATAAGTCCATTGAATGGTAGTAGCCTAAACCACACTCTTTTCATTTCATTTTAGAGAACACGTTCACCTGCATCCCACGACGTCTCTACATATTTAAGGGTTCAGAATTGGCCATTTCATCAGAAATGATTGAAGAGTATGTAAAGGGGCATTCTGAACACAATGGTGTCAGTAACGGGAGTATCCCAGACTCTCCAATTTCTGATTCCTCTTCAGAATCCTCAGAGGATGTAGAAGACAATGGTGACTTAGTAGCGTGCATTCTTCAACGCTGTCAAAATGATCCAATTCTGGAAGCTGAACGTAAAAGGTGTCTTGAAGAGGAAGCGGGTGTTGAGGTAATCGACTGTGATGAATCTCCTCCGCAAAATGCTTCCATAGGTGCAGCCGTCGCTGCCACTGATTCTGAGAATCCTCATACCGGGAATACTTTGAACAGCAATGGTAAAAAAAGGATGTCTTCTGAATCCCCTTGTGATGGATCTTCGGAAACTAAACGCCGAAAAACTTGTGAAGACGGAAAGGAAGAGGAAAAATCAAATATCTGTCCTACTGAGATGGTTGACACAGTGTCAGATTCAGTTAGTGACGAAAAGACGGTTAATGCGTCCCAGGCATAATTTTGATGACGATTATGTATTTTGTTGATGTTTGATTGTGTGTATCTATGAATTTATGCAGAGAAGACGTCCGCGTGAGCTTTTTATTTACCATGAAATACTTCCCCTCCTTTTTTTCGTCTGTTACTTGTTGATTTGGGGAGTGGGATGGGTAGATTCGTGTTTCGCGGCACGTTTGACTTGCCGGATAAGGCCTGGTCGGCAATTGTTTAGACATTATCGGGATCTCCATTTGCGCTTTAACCATGGTTTCAAAGAGATTAGGTGGATTTCTTGATCTGGCTCGCACTTTTAATACGGAGAAGGGAGTTTTACCCATAGAATTCGCTGAGCATGCATATCGGATATGAAAAAATTTAATTAAGCCAGAGCGGAACTTGTAGTTCTGGCAGCAATCTCATATAAATGCAAAAAAATTGCTTGAGATCAAAGTACAGTCAGGCAATAGGTTTTTTGGAAAGGATATCGTGTTTTTGAAATATTTTGCTTAAGAGGTTTTACTCAGATTGGAGCTATTTGCATTACTTATTGGAATTTACAAAGTCAAATGTCAAGTGAAGGTGTTACGTTTTTACCCAAATTTCTCGGGTAGGTTGGCGTTCAAAATTAACTTATTTTGCGTGACGAATACCTAGACCGTAGCAGTATCAGCTAGGTTTTTAAAAACAAAAGGATATACTAGGTAAGAAACCACAAGACCCAACTAGATACGCGCTTATTGAAAAGACTGGACTGGAAAACCAACCAGATAATTCCTAAAATTTCAAATTCAAGGGAGCAACAATGGGAATTCAATTGATTACTTGTAGTAGTGATATTTATCCATTTTAGCTAAACTTGTTTGGTTGTAAAAATGGCAATTCTGATTATTTTAGGAGAATTAAGGCAATAATTGCGCGTGGCCTAAAGTAAATCAAAATCGGTAATGGGTTTAGGTGCATAGAAAAGCAGGGTAATTTTATTGGCAAATACTACTATTTAATAATGATATGTTACTGTATTTATAAAAAAACATCTTGTAAAGTATGAACCCATACAACTTATTAGATTTGTAGTTTAGCTTGGCAAAGAGACAAAAATGTGCGTTGCAAGAATCCGATAGGGCCCACAAAATTTCACAACTCAAGTGTTATCTGAGCATTTCATTTAAAACTAGCGGTTTACTGTAGCTAAAAGAATATGAATTCTTCACAGTTACATTATTTAACCGTAAAATTGTTTGGTGAATATTTCTAAACACTTAGTTTATCCATCTTTAAGATCAAATATGGCTCGAATTCGAAATGAATAACAAATTAGTAATCGTCACTTCAAATACTTTTTATTCGATTGACATATGCACAAGAGGAAGTGGGATTTAGATGACTTCTTTATTTTATATCACAACGTCAATACAAATGGAATAGTTAAATTACTATGATAAATTCGAAGCAAAATGCCAATTCGTCAAATGGCTAACAGATATTTGAACTGATAACAACAAAGTGCTAATGAATCATGTTTGGTAGTGATTTTACACATATACACATATAATATTATTAATATAATAATAATGAAGTTTATTATTTGGATGGACGAATTAAGAACTGGAAGTTAATATGGGGTGGAGTCCTCACAGATGCTTTGAACTGCCAAAATAACCGGCGAAGTTTCTAGGTTTACCATGTTTAGGAATGTTCTTAAGTTTGGATTTCAGTTTACTGATAAATCTTTTCGCAATTTTTCATCAAAAGCAGCGTCTGAAGGTTTTTAAGGCTTTATTTTAAACGCTTTTAGTAGAACCATTGAAGAGCTTAACTGATGCTGTTAAAAACGGCGATTATATGGCAGTTGAAAAGATTATTGTTGAACAAGTTCGTTATTTATTTATTTATATTCCCTTTAGGACCCATATGATGTTCGTAGGGTTTTAATGCCGTCCTTTACATCGAAAGAAGAACCTAACTTGATTGCATCAACTTCAAATACACGCCTGATTGGTTGCTTATGTGAGGAAATAAGTTTTATTATCTGTTCTCATGAGATTTATTCTTAATATAATGTTTTTCATAGGTGAACCCGAGGCTGATGTTATAAATTGGATGGAATTGTCAAAGGGCAAACCAGCAAAGTGCTATTGCGGACACTGGTTTAAATTGATCGACTTTGAAGAATATCTTTCCTCCTCTAGCAGCTCTTAACGAAGCAGAACATTTACTCTATTTTGGTTTTTATTATGGTATTTGTATCGTGTAAGCCATATTAATCATGTATAATTCTTTTGTATTTGTTCACTTTTGTCTCGTATTATTGTTTTTTCTGTCATGATGTCGATTTATGCTGTTTGTGTTTTCCCGGATATTTGGCAAGCAAATGTCAATTGCCTTATGTTCGTATTTAATTCACAGCTAGACCGCATCTTTTTTTGGTGCTCGAAAATTTGGTTAGGTGATATTAGGCTGAGTTGAAGCACCTAGCGGTTTTGTAATTATAGGTTCCCAATTCCTTATGGAAACCCCTTAATGGTATAGTTATTTCATAACTTTTAGCAATTTTGCGTTAAAGAACAGTCCAGGGAAAACGGTCGATTCGGATTGGTTATTTACTAGCAAAAATAGTATAGATTAATGAGTAGAAGCTGATGGTGCTAAACATTGAGAATGGCTATATTGGGACATCTAAAACTCTAGGGATAACTCAATTAGCTAATACCTATGAGGTCACCATTTTGGATAGAGTCGGAAATGATATTTTTACTTAGCTCGCGTACGATGGCGTTGCAATGTCGGCTCCCACGAAGACGACTTAAAATAACATTGCATTGTGAGCTTGGAAAGCTTTTTACGCCTTAATTATTATTATTAGAAAGAACCCGATATTTCAGCATTTTATGGCCTTGTTGGGTGCTAAAGCATCTATATTTTACAATAAGTCATTTTTCCTTGTGAAAAATATCTTTTTCATACAAATAAACGATAATAGGACGGTGGATCAAGTGGAGGCTTTGACGTTTGTCTAATCCCATTCATGTATATATTACATATTTAAATTAACCGCGACGTAGCCTTATTTTGCTCCGCCCGATCTTCGCTACGACAATTTGGGTAAAAGGTGGCAGTTTTGACTGCCAGGCTTTGGTAAATTTGTCTTAGAGGAAAGAATTCGAATCTGAGGGCAAGCACAGGTACAGATGAAGCCACTGCTTGCGTAGTTTCTGGAGTTATTTTAGCTACTGCGCTTTTTGATAACAATGGTTTTATTTCCACAAACAGCGCCATTTAGGAATTGAAACCATTAATTATTTCAACAGTATATTAGACTAGTATAGATCGTCGCAATTTCGCATTTGGAATACACGTTTCACAGAAATCGTTATTATTAAACACTTCTGCTTAAGTTAGCTTCACTTAAAATTCGGAAAGTCATCTGGAAAATAAGCTAATTATTAATTGTAGTGAATGACATGGGGCTTAACAGATGTCAAATGACTAGAATAAGAGGTTCTGGCTGAATGCAGGCAGCTAAATTGATGCCGTTTTTTAATTGTTTAAGTATTTACAATGAATGCCCATCTACAACTCAGCATTCTTTGGGAAACACTTGCCAACCCACTTGGTGAAATTTCCACATTCGTCTCGTGAGTGTTCATTTTCACTCATTAATTGCATTCCGATTGTTACAGCACACTACGTCGTTTAAATTAGCCCACAAACGGAAATCTCAGGTAGATAGATTTAACGATCTGGGAGACCCTAAACTTGATGAAACTGTGCACCAAGAAAGCTTCATGGGCGTATGTCATTAAAGTTCACGAAGTCTGCGTCGTATCATAACGTAAATTCTTGCACTTCCTCCATCATTTCAACAAAGGGTGGCTGCAACGATTGCATTATATACACTTCAGAACTCACGATGTTAACAAAGAAAATGGAGCCTACGATAGGTCGGACTGAACCCGGACACCAAATGTCTACTTTGAACCATGTAGAGCCACAGCAATATGTTAACTATTTTTCCTAAACTTGGCTCTACTTAATTAGCATTAGCAGAACTTTTACGGTATCTAATAATGGACCCCCAACTATGCTCGAGATAATATAATTACAAGTAAACCTATCTAAACTAAACTAGAAGAGATGTAGCCCAAAAACTTGTATTCGGAGAGGCTAAACTGACTCAAGCTTATGGAAAGGCATCCGTTCCAAAAAATGAAAATTGGAACCCTGACTATTGTTGCTGAACGATGAAACACTTTTCTGGACTTTGTATGCCCAAAAGGTGTAAATGAGCGATTGGATTGGTATGTGTTAGCAACCGAAAGTTATCATCCATTGTTTAGTCAAATGAGGTCAAAAAGGAATCTGTAGATAGACTAGCGGCATCGGATCAGCCAGTGGGTGATATATTTGGTGACTCGGTCTAACGTAGTAATTAACATTAGTGATCTCATGATGAAAATCGACGGTACCCTCCACATCGGTAAAATATAGATAATATAGTCACTGAGCAATCTTTTTATTTTCCTTTATTTGAACAAATCTTTTAATATTGCTCTTTAAAACGACAAAATGAGAATCGCCTCATCGAATGAAAGCACGCGTTTTTTGCCATAGCAGCTTGGGTGCTGTTGAACTCTGTTAATAAATAGTGCAATTTCTAAGGATTCTTTGGGTTGGGTCTTATATTTTACAACGAAGAGCCGATTATAACGGAAAGAGAGAAATTATTTGAATATGAATCCTTTATTTTGAATTAGTAATAGGTTATTAATTGCGATTTGAAATCCTCTCGTTGGCACAAATAGCTAGTTCGACCAAAATGTTTCGTTTCAAAGTAATAAAACTACAGTTCTAGAATAGAATTACTAGAAAGCACTCAATAATAAGGATCGTGGTTTACAAGAGATTATAGTTCCTAATTGTATTACAACACAATCTGGGGTTCATTTCCTATTATCTGAAGCCCATAATTTTTAAATACTTAATTGAAAACAATTTACTGATTAAATATTCAACAAATCGTAAGTTTGCCAGATTCCAGGGTCTGGGCCAATGTCTTTTGTCAGTTTAGAGTTTGGACAACTCACTTTCAACGGAACAACATTTGCTGCCAGCCCTACGTCATTCCGTCTTTCAAATCCTTTGAAAAAACTATGGATTAACGAATATTACATCACTACTTTTTCAACTCCTTAGTGACCACGCTTTTACTCCTGTGCTCTTGTAGCTATTTAAATTCTCTTCTCTCTATTTCTACAAATATTCCGGCTACCATTCTCCTCTAGATTGGATTCTAAATGTACAGTTGATCAAAAACGCCCATCTAGTACACTACATCTAGAAGGGAAATAATACAGGTAGAGGCACTTGAATTTGACATGGACACCGAAAACGCAAAAGGAAACAAAACGGAAAATGTATAAAAAATTGTAAGATACGGTGTTTTGTTGTACCCATTTTGAGCGTTCGGTTATCGTTCTGACCAGCATTAAATGATTGTTGTAATCAAAAAAGTGACATGAAGGAAATATCTACCATGTGAAGGCCTGAAGGCTACTTGCGCTTATAATTACAAGCAACTTAGAAAAAGATGCACATTTGTTAAAACAGATCAACTAAAATTTCCACAGATAATCTTACTATAATAAGTAAACACATTGCATAACTAATAACATGGGACATCCAATCTACAAAGCGTCGCATAGGCGAATATAAACAAATAATAAATATATTTTTATATTATTTTCTGCTCTCTAAACCTCGTCCATTCAATGCCCTTTATTCGAAATACTTGCATTTCATTACGATGCCGAATGCATTTTACCTCAGGTAATGTAAAACGTGATTACGATATTTGGGTCTGGTTGTTTTCCCCTCATTTTGGTCCAACTTTATTGTTAGTTGATCACTAGACATAAAAGAAGATGATATATTCTGTTAATCAAAAATATTACTAAGCAGCTAAAAACAATTTACAGCATAAGAATCAATGCTAAAATGGGTAAAGGATTAATCTGAACTAAAGTAATAGGGAAATCAACACAGAAGGTTGCAAAATGAAGACGAACTCCATGCATTAATACAAACAGAAATATAGAAAACGTGAGGAATAAATTTAACAACATTGCAGCAATCGTTAGTAGGTTATCAAACTTTGAAGTTCATGAAATAAAGAATTTGAGGCGGACTAAAGATGTTATAAAAATAGTTAATTATTTAAATAGAATGAAATATTATACGAATCATGACCTGATAATTTCAATGTTGGATAAAATAGGATTGCAGAAGGTAAGGTAAGAAAGTGAATTATTTTAAAAACTGTGATCTTCGGACAGCAGGTTTTACTTTTTACATGTCCATCTTCATTATTTTTGCATTACCTTGAATTAATTTGAATTGCAACTAACCTCCGAATTCAAACTAGCCAATTGAAATTCCACGGCGTCTTGGCATTCATTTACCTCTCAGTTACATTTGGTATGGAACCTACGCTTGAAACAGCTCTGCAAGCAATTGATGCGCTATACGTAAATCCGGAAAACTCTGTTAAAGAAGGAGCTTCTAAATGGCTCTGTGAATTTCAAAAATCGGTAACAAATTCTACCTTTATTACTCTATAGGTTTACGCTTGGGAAATTGCCGATAAATTACTTTATCTAAATCGAGATTTGAATTCAAGCTATTTTGGTGCACAAACTATTCGTATTAAGGTATTTCTTTGATTGCGATTTCATTTTATCTAGATTCAAATGTACTTTACGGAACTGCCCCCAAATTCACATGAAGTAAGCTTCGTTAACTTCAATGTTTAATTGAGCTTAGGGGTTGAAAGATTCTCTATTGAACCATGTTAAAAAAATAACAAAGGAAACGCCAAAATCTATTGCGAATCAGCTTTGTTTAGCTCTTGCCGATTTATACTGCCAAATGGTTCATTGGAAAAATGCGATCACAGATATTATTAATGGGTAGGTTTTGTTTCTTTAAAGTAGTCATTCCTAGTAGATTATCATCAAATGACGTTTCATCATTATATTTACTCGATATATTGAGGTTCATTGCGGAAGAAATGAACTCAAAAACTCTGCGTCTTGGGTTAAATCGAAGGCATGCTTTAAAGTCTGATCTGGAGCAGCACAAACGTCTCGTTTCAGATTTCTTGGTAGGTTCTGACTCCTCATTTGTCCCTTACCTCCTCACAGGTCTTTAAAATGAAGAATGCGGATCCCCAAATTCTTTCAAAAATTTTCAAGTGCCTTTCCTCATGGTGGGATCATACTGGAATTATGACTGAATCTGATATTCGAACTGAACTCCTAGAGGGTGCCTTTTATGTCCTTCAAAATTCCGATTCTTGTCCTGAAGAAACTTGTGAAGACGCTAGCGACTGGATTGTTAGCCTAGTTACTTTTTGTCCAGTGAGTGATCTGTTTTGAGTATAATAATTTATTCTTTTTCTTAATTTCAATATATGAAGTCCTGTTTTCTTTTAGACCATAAGCGGCTATCACACTGAAATGCTTAGCGTTCTTCAGGTCAATATTTACGCTCTCCAAGGAGTCTTCCAGAGATGCTGTGCTCAAGCTGCCAAGACCTTGGATGAGTCCGTTGCTGAAGGATTCGTAAAACGCGCCTCTCTTATTGTGGTCATCTTTGCTGAGTTGACAAACACAGTGCGTAATGCTTTAATAAAAAAGCCTGGTGCCCCTGGCTCGGGGGGACCCGGTGATTTACAAACTCTGGATTGCCTCATCTCTGTCCTAGAAGCTCCTCCCCCTGTTTGTTGCATCAAAAATGTACTTCAAACATTCCAAGCTCTGGATTCTCTTGCAGAAAATGCGGTTGAAGTGAGTTTGGGTACTATTACCTTTTTTCCAACCGATTCACTTTGAACTATGAATCCTTTCCTTTTCTACTGAAGAGCGGTTATCATCCTAATGCTCGACATAAGAGAATTTCTGGTGATGGCCCTGCTGCTGAAGATATGAATCCACGGATCCTACTCAATTCCTACTATACTCGTGTAGTATCTGTCCTCACTCGACTCTGTGTCAACTACTCAGATGATCTAGAAACAGCTGATGAAGTTCGGGAATTTCGAGAGGACGTTTACACCATAATGATCAGTATTGTGGATTTGGTCGGTGCTGATGTCATTTTCAATGAGGTTTGTTACAGTTAACTATTCTATGTTCATTGATAGTCAAATTGGCTTTAAGTTCTTTTTCCTATTTTCTATTACCTTAGCAAAAGTTATATTGTTGTTCCTCTGTCCCTATCAGTCAGTCTCTAGATTGATCGGTAGAGATTGAAATTTCTGAATCATATATATTTGAAAAAAATAAGTAAAGGAGGTGCTCACGGAAACGGAATTAAATGGAAATGAATCCAAGGGCCGCTTTTACGACATCTTTATTCTACCCATTTCTCTGCTGATCCGATTTATCCTATGCGTTTGATTGCTTACGTAACCGGGTAGGTTTCTAAGTTAGCGGACGGGGACGTTTGTATTTGAAACATTGATTTTAATTACGACCTCGTCTGCTGGTGCAAACTCGGTTCTGACTGCAATCCGAGTGACCTTTTAAATGCCCAAAGCTAGTCGAGTCACCTGCGCTTATGACCTCAGTCATTTTGCCCTTATTTAGTTTAATCATGTGCAATATCACTCCCCTCTATTAGACCCTAAACCTCGATTGAAGTTAATGTTCAAAGAGGACAGCAAGGTTTCAGCTTATCTCGATCTTTGGTTTTGGTTCGTCTTTATCTCCTATATTTAAATTACAAAAGTAGAGGAGAATTACTCAAGTCTCCTGCTGTTTATTATATGTTGACAAATAAATGTATTTACTCGCCATTATCTGTCTGTACACATCACATAAGTCATTCCACGCAAGTTGTTGAAAATAAAGGTAACTGACATATTTTAAAGGAATTTATGCCTACAAGTGTCTACCTAAGTCCATCTATTCAATTTTGAAAGGTATAGTTATTTCTGCACAACTGAATAAGTATATTAACTCTCAGTGAGGAATTGTATGCTATAAAAGTGAAAATCATGATTATAAAAAGAAACTTGTTAGCTTTGCTGGTAGCTAATCGCCCCTCGTCGTATCCTTTATAAAATCGATAAGGTCGCATGGTTGTCTTGATCGAAAGTTTTATTACATTGACCTCATATTCGGAATAATTCTTGATTAGGACTTATTTGTACTAGTTAATCTGTTATTTGATTGTTTTATGAAGCCTTCCCCTATTCGGTAGTCTTCTATTTAGATTGATTGGGTTAGTTTTGGGACTTACAAAAGAATTTTTATGCAAACAAAGGCACTCCAATTTATTTGGGCAATCTCCCACGATACATTCCAAAGCGCATAATTGCAGAAAGGAGAATGGTTGACATTTAATGCATTCTTTTATCTTTTCCGTGGGTCGATTTTCAGTCAAATGGGATATTTGTGTCGTTTGCCATTTGATTTCAACTATTTTCACATTCCTCTAATAGTTGCCCAATTTTAAAGTATACGTTCGAACAGCTAATTGATATTTTATAATACTTTTTTGAAAAACGGCCGTTAATCATATATATATCACATCTGATTAGGTTTGATGAAATTTTTATTGATAAATGCATTCAGTAATCTTCCGATATCTATTTCATACGTGAGCCTTGACAATTCCTGCAGTTAACACCCAAATGTGCACCCATCTTACGACACCGGGAGCTCTGTTTCGCTCATGTGAATGGGTTTAGTTTTCTGAGTATTTACAAATGCGCTTATTTCAACGTTACTGTGAATTCTCGAAAGTAATTGAAATCTGGACATACTTGGGTATTGTAGGTTTTCACTTTCGAAGTTATAATCGTGCTTCTAATTGCAATTTTCTCCTTTCCAAATGCAGCTCTTCAATCGAATTATGCAGTTGCAGGAAATGAACAGCACAGGCAACTCCGCAAACTTGTTTCATGAAGCCGAAGCTTGTCTTTTTATGATGACCACGATTGCAAAGCGCCTCTCCTCCTACGATCTCGAGGGTCGTATTGCTACCCTCATCAACTCTTTCGTTCTTCCCGGTCTAGCTTCTAAACCATCGCCTTCAATGCAAGAGGTTGTGTGTATTCTCTTCAATGAACTCGCCGCGTGGATCGTTCTTCATCCTGAAATTCGGCGGGAGATTGTTGAACAGCTCATTCGAATAATTGAGGGTGCGGCTAACCTGACCCAGTCTAATTTCGATGTAAGATGTGCACTTTATTGTATATATTTTGCACATTTGTATGCAAAGTAAAATAGCCTAAGTCGTGTATATGATTTAAGAGTTTAAATGCATGTGTCTGAGGTTAACTTATCAAAATGGCCCTCATGGAGTTCAACTACAATGGCCACTTAAGTTGCGGTTATCTCCAGGACACTAGTCCGTTTTCTCTCATCCCTTAAATCTTATTCATTTTCTTTGAACTAAAGAGTGGGATTGCCAGGTTCCTCATTCTCTGTCGGTATTATTATTAAATCCAGTAGCCCCTCACTTTCAATCTTAGGTTTGGATGAATTGATGAAATCATAGAGGTCACTTGGAGTAACCGTCTCTGTCTGTTAAATTCATAATATAAAACCTGGCGGGTTTTGCAGGCTCTAAAGGCTGAATTTTGTAACTCATCTCCTCTAAATAGTTAAATGTATCGAGATGGATAGGATTGAACAGAATAGCAAGGACTTTCTAATCTGTATTTTTTTAAACTTCCTCAGATTTCAACAAAGAAACTATGCTGTGAATAGTAAAGGATACCTTGTACTCAGTCAACTCAAATATATCTTAATCGTAACAGAGGGAGATTCAATATGCGATCGCCAGACAATTATGTTTTAGGGTTCTCTTGTAAAATAATATTGTCAGAACTCTCATGACACGTCAACGTTAAGATCACTACAAATCATTGTTGTTTCTAAACCTTTTAAGGGTGAACAAGAGTTGAATTTGCAAGACTGGCCATCACACTTAAGCACCGGATATTGCGGACTAGAATACGATCAGTAATGAAGGTGTCGAGTGATGAAATTCGAATTTTGGAAAGTGAACTACTCTTTAAGTAAATATTATGCTTCCTGAATCCCAAAAATTAAATGGTGTAAGCCATTTTAACACTATGCCCTTGCTCTAAATATCATTTCGATTTTCCCCTTCATAATTTATTGAATTACTTAAAATATTCTTTCTAAATTCTTCAGAATGGACAGAAGCAGGTCGTTTGTGAAGCTCTTGTGGCACTGGGAAAGCTTTGTCAGTCCTGTCGAGGTCGAAGAACTTTTTCCGATAAGGATCCCATTCCTTGTGATGGCCTCATCGACGAACAATGGAATGACTTAATTTTTCGAGTGACCTATTCCATTCCACGTTTTGCTCGTGTTCCCAGCACTGAGACGCAGTCATTCTACGAAGGAGTCGCTCGATCTCTAATGGCCTCCATCGCATATCTACCCAAAGACGGTATCGATCCTAGACCCGCTAGATTGGCACTTCCTGAACGTCTTGCCCAACTACTATCTGCCAATATTCAATGTATCAACAAACTGATGGAACAGAACCAGCCAATCATACTCAAAGACAAGAATACTGACCCTGCCATTTGGTTGGATCTTATAGCAGCGGTCTTTCGCACAACGGCTGCATTACTCTCCCGCCTAGATGATGCTTATAGGAGAAATAAGGCGATTAGTCCTTCCCGCAACAGTCAAGGTGATCAACAAGGGCAAGTTAAAGGCGATAGTCTAAGCGAATCTGCTCAGACGTGCTTGAATGGTTGCTTGAATGTCTTCGTCTCCATCGTTTGGCCAGTTCTATCTAGGTGCCTGGAGATGTACAGCAGCAAAAATCATATTATGGAACGATGTTGTCGGGTTATTCGATTCGTTGTAAGAACCTTCTCAATTAATCTTCGAGATGCTCTCCCAGATATTGCCAATAAGGTTTGTTTTGTTTTCATATTTGAATGCTCCTCTAATTGTTATCTTTGCTCTTTTAGCTTGTACAATCCTATCAACAAGATCAACACTCTTGCTTCCTCTACCTCGCTGGAGTTTTAACCGACGTCTTTGGTGATCTTCCTGAATGTCGACCCGGTCTTGTCAATCTCTTTGAGGTTGTAATTCCTTTACCTAGTCTATTGAATCATTATTTATTTGTAAATTATAAGTTATGTTTAATTTGTTGTAGACCTTAGCTCCACCAACGCTGAATTCACTGTCTGGCTCTTTAGCTGAACAGCCATATGTTGTTGAAGACCTTTATCGCCTCTGTGTCCGTCTTGTTCAACGCTGCGCGACTACTTTCCTCTCAAATCCCAATGTAAATATATATGCCCTCCTAAATACAGCCCTAGAATCTCTCACCCTCTTCACCCTCAACCAAATTTCCGCCGAGTCTGATGAGGATAGTGATGGTGAAAAGGACGGTTCAACCCCGGTTGATTCCAAAAAGTCAGATCCTAAGGCCACCCAATCTGCCACGGGAGCAGTAGCTCATTTCATCCAAGAAGTTCTCACTTTCACGGTGGAGACGAGCGAAGACACCCTATCTGCAATTCTTTCTGGGCACGAGTTACCTCAACCGGGAAATGAATCTGCACTCGCTGCTCGAAGACTCATGTTTTGGGTGTTGAAACCGGAGATTTGTGGTGGACAGCGACTCATTACAACGTGTATCCATAGCTGTTGCAATGGGCTCTCTGATGACCTCTTCCCGGATATTTCTAATTTGCTGTTGGGTTTGAAGATGATGGTTCCTCGTGATGTAAGTTTAATTTTTTATTATTGTTCATTTCGCTCTAAATATTCCATCGAGTACTTAGCTCTTTTCCTGGATATGAAGTGGAAAAAAGTCTAAAATATATTCTTCAAAGTCTGTTATTTGTTTTCCTCTGATGGAATTCTTTAAGGCTATTATTAAAAAATATTATGTTAATTTTTATTCGAATTACCAACCCCATATGAACTGAATAAGTCATTGTATGTTGCTTTTAATGCTGCTACAGTCATGGGAGTGAAACTTCTTTTACAACAGGAGAATAAAAGGGGGGAAGGATTCGAGTTTGATATCAAGAAAAACAGGATGTGGTCAAGAAGAAACGCTAAAGACTACTTTAATTCTAAAAGCATTGAGTTGTCGCTCTTCTCACTTCTAGCACACTTACTGTCTAATAATTTGAGGTTCAAATTTGATTATTCGATTTCCCGCATGTTCAAAACTTGTTAATGGATGACTTAATTTCTACGATTAATCACGTCACATCGACTTATTGGTGTCTTATTACTGTTGAAGCAGGTAGGTGAGACTAGTTGCGACAGCATTTGGCATTGCAGTTCACTTCATTACTATTGTGCCCTTTATGTACGTCTATACTCTCCTTTGAGATTAATATCTAGGTTATCATATGGATCTTAGATGTATGCAAATTGTTAAGTGTTTTACTACACCTCCTTTCTTGTAGTACATTAATTTTTCGTTTTCTTTTCAGCTATTTTCCATCTGGATGGACCGTACGTTAGAAGGACTTCCTATTGTTCGAGCTGACGGTCTTGTTCAAGCTACAAAGCAACAACTGACTGATTTCAAAGAAGGCGTTATGTCGTAAGCTTAAGAATCCCTGAAGAGTTATTTCTCTTGAAGAAACCTATCTGTATTTAAGCATATATCATTATCATCTACTTCATAATATGTTCCACATCATGATGAGACAGATATGGCTGATTCGTTAATAGGCGATAGGTTGATAGGTAAGGGAGACGTAGTGTTTATATTCGTGTGCAGCTATCACTGTTCACGTCTAACTAGAGGTCACATCCAAATATCTGCGGCTAACAGCCCTGGGTAACTGCGGTCAACGGAAGAAGTAGTAGAACGCGAACTTATCGGAAGAATCGCCCCGGAATTCATTTACTCTACACGAATCATATGTTGTCAGTGCTCTCTTTAGTTGGATTGGAAAGTTTGCGCTCATGGTTGGAAATCAATAAGTGAGTTTAGGCGATTGATAAATTATAGTGTAAAGCAGATGTGTTAGAGTCCAAATAGAGGGGACTTTAGAGAGCTTAGCAGAGCAAATCAAAGCACCTATCACACGAGTCACAGGCTTCCTTTCTTCTTTTGCAGAGCCACCCGAAGCCATTCAATCACCCATGCCTTAGACTCGTTTGTGGTTCTATTCCGTTAAAGTATCGTCAATTCTCGTGACAAAGACCTGGTTTTCCTATGTTTCCCTATCCTTCCTTTTTGAAACCATTGTAAAAAAATTTAGTGTAACGAAGAATAAATTTTATTGTACATTTCCATCCTGACGAAAGGATGATACGGAAAAAGGCTTTTCTTGTTGTCCAGTTTATAATATTATTTAGGAGTGCGTTCGCGTGTTACCTACTGGTAGTAGTCATCCAACGGAGAATGCGATAGTGACTCTTAGCGATGGACCAGAGAGCTTGACATGGATGTTTTGCATCTATTGGGGAAGTTGGAATGCCTAGAAATAGTCGAACTCGGTTATTGAGATGTAGAAGATGAAGAATAAGTTGATGAGATCCTGAGGTACACCAGTAGATTAATAGAGCCTGCAAAGGAAATATCAGTCTAAACCGCCTTTCGGGTTATTTTGGGAGCTAGCTATAAATCAGATTGGGAGAAAAGAATTAGGATTGAGTTTGTAACTGCCGATTGACTGAGTTGACAAGGGATTAAGTGCATCAAAGTGCACAGATAGCGTACAGCTGCTCTTACCAACCGCGTGACATGAGTAGTTGTCCCATGAAGTAGACTTTAAGATGTGAAGAGAGCATTACATGTCAAGAAACTGACATGATCAATAAAAAGGCATGCTCCTAAGTATACATCACTATCCCTTAGAGCGATAAGTGGATTTGACAGGTTTTAACATGCCTTGGTAGCCAGTAACGTAGTCTAACTAAATAATTGACCAATCGAAAATGACAAAAAGAAGCAAACAATAGTCCATCAGAGGTTCAATTCAATACAATTTTACTACCATCTTAAATAAGTATGCCAATAAGCAATTAAAAGTTTGAAGGAACTCACAGAAGGTGCAAAGAAAGAAACAACTAGTGTCACACAAGTTCCAAAAATTCCAGCTCCATGGGCGAATTTGAGCTGCCAAGGGAGATGGGAGGGGACAGAGGCGTTGACACTACCGCGTTCCAAAGCTTTAGGGTCTTCCTTAATAGCAATTGACATGCTCTGACCATAAATACGGCGTAGATGACCGATTTCAACATTGCAAGCCGTCACAAATGTAGTGGCCGCAATTAGGGCTATAGATGTCGTTGGTGATACCAAGCCTTCTGTAACAAATTCAGGAATAGTTGGGGGCCAATCTAAAATCAATACAACCATTAACTCTTAACAAATATATAGGCAAAATGGAACAAAACATGAATGTGGAACTTTTACTTACATACGAAAGGAGTAACCTGTATACCGCACGCATTTCTTAAGCCAAAAGTTATAGTCATCCAAATAGGCAATTGGAACATTGCGAAAATACAAGATTTAAAGGGGTGGCAACCATATTTTTGACATTTCTCCGTAAATGACTTCCGTATCTGAACGAAGAGTAAACGAAAATGGTTATATAACTACCATTGCCTGTTGAAGTCTAGGATTAATTTTGCCATCTTTTTGAGGAATGGAAAATCTAGAATTCGCAGCTTCAGCCGCGCTTTCACAATAGGCTTTGGTGACGAGAGTTTGATTTTTTTCTGTGAAAGTGTAGAGTGGACCAGCACAAATGGTTCGTAAAGTTAAGGTAGATGCAACGATTGCAGCAGCATAGGAACCAAAGTGACCATAGTCGTGACACACCCGGAGTCCTTCTGCAACCCAAATCATATGCAATTGATGAGGGTTAAAAAATTCAGAGAGTAAATAAACAACTGGGAAAGAGTAAGATCGGGATGATAAAACGCTAAATGATTTTGAAGAGAGCAAGAGGCGTGACCCGAAATTAGAGATAGACATAGCTAAAACGCAGAATCAAGCAAAATTAAAAACATTAAACATCAGAGCAGAAATATAAAGAAATACTACCTTGGCTAGAACACAAATTAACAGAATGGTAACAACGAGTCCCCTGGCTATAATTATTTTGACCTTGAGAACAGGCAGGAGCAAAGTAAATTTTAATATTAAATAAAACTGCTATTTCAATTGGATTGAAAAAAACCAAAAAACTTCAGATTTTTAAGAATTCTAAATGCCAAAAATGCCAAAACTATTGAATTTATTAAATATAAGATTAAGATAAATTCAAAGTTGCGTGTAATAAAAACATACCATTGCATAATAAAAATGATAAAACCACATTTTTCATCATTTGCATCTGTAATCTATATAATAATATAAATATCAAACAAATAGTTCTTAGAGAAAATGATTTTTTTAATTGTTCCTGTAATTGAATTTTTATCTTAGAAAATAAATATAGCGACAAGGTTGTATAATTTGAGGTATATTAATCAAAGTAACTATTTTATTAATAATGAAGGTCATTTATTTTAACTCACCAGTTTGCTTACTTTTGTTACAGCGATCTTTCAGAATAATTATCTGAGAATGAATGAAAAGGAAAGAATTACTAGAATGTATATGCCATTTTATGCAGCATGTGGTTTCACAGCCGCTGGATTTGTTTTATTTCTGTTTGCATTTTCAAGTCCGTATTGGCTTGAATCTTATGACTACGTACACAATTCCTTCCTGCAACTCGGCATTTGGTCATCATGTTTCAATAAGTTCATTCTTCCTGAGGTAAGTTCTAATAATTGCGAATTTTAACAAAAGGATTACCACGCAAATGAACTGACTGGATGCTATTGGATGTATGATCGTTTTTTCTTCCAAATCGGGATATGGGAATGGCTAAATCCCTATTGGCTGGTGGCCATCCAAACTCTTATCATAATCGCATTTATATGCGAATTGATTAGTGTTATGATTCTTGTATTATATTTTCTTTTATATGGTCAACCTGCTGCAGAGTCGACAATTGCTTGCGGCTTACAGGTAATTATTATTAAAACGTCTTGTACTAAGTTTCTGTAGGTCTTCATTGGAATATTACTAACAATATCGATGGTCACCTTTGGTATTAATTCTCAAAATCGTAGATGGATGATGCGACCTGATCAGATGTTTCTCTCTTGGTCTTTTGGCTTCCTTTTGCTTTCTGCAATCGCTTCTTTCATTTCTGCTTCTTTTCTGTGTTGTGTCAGTTACACTGATAGGGCAGCTCAAGTAAGTGTCGCTATGAAGTCTAACAGAGCAAAACTTTAAGTATTTTTCCCAAAATCAAAATAATCGAATTAATGATTTCAGTGAAAAATAATTTTATACAATTTTTTTAAACTTATCAAGTGGATAATGTTTACCAAATTTTCTGATAGTTTTTAAACTATTTTATTTAAATTAGGAATAAATTTATAACCACGAATAGTTTTCTTCAAAAATAGTCACCTTGATTGACGCAGTCGTTTAACACTTGCATCGTTGCATGCTTTCAGGCATTTAATTTAACGATATTGCTCTTGAACAACTTATCCAAGAACAAGCACTTTTGTAAATAGTTTCAATATCCTTTACAAATATTGGCTGATCTCAGCAATTCTGGAGCGCGAATGCAAAAATGTAAATACGCAATTGATATAGTGTAGACCTTGATAAATTGTATAATGATTTGAGCAAGTGAAACATACTTAACACCCTTGCGTTTAACTTTCCCTTTAATTCATTTGGACTAATGTTTTCGAAATTAATTTGTTCTAGAATTGTATTGCTCTTTGCTAAAGCGGAAAATGGTTAATAGAAATGCATATTTTTTGCAAGATAACCTCTTCGACTTACAACTGTATATCGAAATGTAATTTCTAACTGAATTTATTTCTCTGAGCGAGGTGTGAATATATGGCCATTTATAATAACGACCGTAAAGATCGTCCTCATTAACTATTCGGCGTCTTCAAAATTTCTTTTGAACTCCAAACCGTCAGTTTCATAAAAAACATCGCAATCTACGTAGATCCACTGACACAGACAAACAGTAAACCTGAGATCAATGGCTCAAAGTCTTCACTGATGGGTCATACATAGAAAACTAAGCAAACGTTGGTGCAGGTGTCAATTCTAAACTCTTCTCTTTCTACGCAGCAGCGGGACACAATAGATCCGCTTTTGAAGGAGAATTAGAAACCATTAGGATAGCACTATGTCAATTATGTTGCCTGGATACGAAATTCACCAAAGCGGTGATGCTTTCGGACTCACAGTCAGCAATAAACGCAATTGGAAACAGAGAGCCACTCAAAACAGCTGAGATAAAGGAATGTAGAAAACTCTATGAGCTGCTGAGAGAGAAAAACAAAACAGTGGTCCTACAATGGATTCCTGCTCACTGTGGCATTAAAGGCAATGAGCTTGCTGGCACACTTGCTAAGAAGGGGACAACGATTTTGCAATGCATGGACCGGCCGATGTCTTTCCACACAATGAAGGCCTTTATCTGAAGAGAATTCAAGACCTCAAGGTGCAACGAACTTAAAGCTCGAACAAAGGAGAAACAGTGGGCAGTGGCACTCTCCGACATAGCCGACTGGCCAAGAATCGAAGCCGTTGCTGAGTTTAGACTACGTACCGGACACGATTGCTTGGCAAAACACCTTCACAGATTGGGAGTATACACTCAACCCACATGCCCTCTATGTAACCCACAGGAGGAAATGGAGAAGACCCACTTGTTTCGGTGTCCAGCCCTAAAGACAACGATAGAAACCCTGAGATACTGGGAAGCAAGAAGACAGCTAATGAACTGCCATATATGTACCCCCCCTTGGGGGAAGCTGAAGTCCAAGTTTAAGAGCTAATGATAAATATTATAAAGCTTGCCATTTGAAATAATAATAATATTTCAGTCTTGTGCTCAAAATCAATAACCAATGAAATTATCTACTAATTTTAAGCATGTTAACATTTGAGGTGATTGAAACAGAGATATTGTTGAAAACCCTATTGATGGATTTTCTTCCACTTTAGAGGTGCTTCTCTCTTTGATTGATCCCTTGTAAAATAGGCATAAATGACTAAACTGCACACAATCAACTAAGCCACAAGTCGCAGATACAATGTAGCATCTGTGATGGAGAACTTCCATTAGGCAACAAAATAGAAGGACTCTTAAAGCATAGGGCATAACCATTTTATATTTATATCCTGATATTATATTCGCTTTTCTTTTCAGAGAGAAGTGGAACATTATGAAGCAATCGAAGGTCAGTTAGGAGGTCGTTCATTGGCTGGTGGGGGCACCTACTTATCCGGCCGTGCTGGACCATCAACCCTCTTTACTCGTAGTGCTTATGCTAGTCAGCCTCATGTCGGAGGCGGCGTTGTTCTAAATGTTCCATCTCTTGGCAATGCTCCTGCGCAAGTACGTCAAGATCTAAAATGTTGCTTGGTATTTCTATAGCTTTATTGGCTATATTTCATTCGCATAGTCTATTGTTATTTTTTATTACCTCCAAAATAATGGGGATATAATACAGAAATTAGTAGAAAGACTAGAATCTACACAAACATCTTTATTGGCGCACATCAACAGAATAATAGTGAGTAACGTACACAATATGTGCAGTCAAACGGGGCAAAGGCTTACAATAACTTATTTTTGAACTTACAGGATTTTAAGCTAGTTTACCTTCGTGTCCTTTTAATTTATTCCATGGTACCTATTATTATTGCTATGGGTGATTAAACAAAATTCATGATAATATCAGTTTCCATTATTACACACTATTCACTATCACTATCTTTATTATGATAAAATAGAGAGAGGGAGGAATAAAAACAATAAATGTTAAGAAATCCGAAGAGCCCTTCTTTATTGGAGCCTGGCCTTATTTATTTCAAAAATTTCGATTATGAGTCAAGATTATCTTCTGGAAAATATGTTATTGGATTCCAGGTCCAGCATGATCTGAGCTGATTTGATGAAAGAGATGAATCGAGAGTTTGACTATACTCTCTTGTCAAATCGGTACTATCTGAGAGTACAGCAGTCAGTGAATTAGATGCTAGTTTTAATTGTGTTTGGTATAGACCAGCATAGATCAACAAGCTTCTGAAGAATAAAGGTGTTTGTCTAGTGCCTTTCCACCCCGGTACATTTTTTATAGATAAGTACAATTGCTATCATCTTTTAAATGGCAAACAAAGCTTAACAAGTTTTATTGTGATCTACTATTCCACCTCGATTTACGTTCGCCCTTTGCAGCCATGACATGTTAGATGATATCAGTGACGACTTTTAATTTAACTGTGCCAATAAAAGTCACTTTTGTTTAATTTTCAAAATTACTTTTCCCTGACTGAAAATATTTTTTTCATTTTCAAAACCCTTAGGTAGCTCTTCATGCATGCCCACAAATGATGCTTTGATGAGTAAAGTTCAATTAACGAAATGTACCCTTTTGAGAGATGGAATGCCTTAGTTCATTTTCCTAAAAATGCATGGCAAGGAGAAATTTACATTCAGTTATCCGGTTCCCAATTTACTAGAATTAATGAGTCATTCGATTCAGATCAAGATATTTTTGGAAAACTACTTTTTAAAATTATTGATTTATTATCTTACATCGAAAATTAGACGATTTCATTAACGATTTTGGTCAAAATTAGAGTTTTCTCATTTATCAGGATATACGGAATACACTCTATCTACGGTGTTATTTTATGATTTTTCTTTTTATTGCTGGCAAGGGAGCCGGATATGCATCACTGAATATTTTTAATAAATATAAAATGTAGAAAAATTTATAAATAAATTATGGAATTTGAGTGAAGTATTCTTTGTTTTTTTTCTCCAGAAATTTCAAGCCAATGCATATGTCACTTTCGATAATATCAAGTCTTTTTTTCATTTTTAAAGATAATGATTTCTTGGCGCTCAATGAGACACTGGTATTAGTCCCTATAGTAGTAATATAGAAATAATAAAGGACTGAGAAATTAAATTTATATATCACCTAATTCAGTACCAATTAGGATTTCGAGATAAAACTGCCCAGGATTTATCAATTTTACTAAAAAGAATTAATTGTATGTTAAGGGGGTGGGAAGCTTCTTCATCGAATGAAGCTCCCTTATTGCATCAGTCTGTATGTGAAAATAGTGCCTGCAGTTGTCTTTTTGATAGAGCACTACAGAGAACTTTAAATTAAATGAAGAAAATGGCATTAAGAAGGCGGGGCTGATAAAGGTAGAAACTAAAACAAGTAACTCCAGGTAGACCTGAAGAAGTCGGAGGGAATAGTATTAAAATGGAGGAAATTCTGGAGGATAAGTGCCTGGCGACGATAAAGTTGAAAGTCAAATATTAATGCTTATTAACGACTGTGGTCAGCTTAAGTGCATGAGATGAATATATGATTTTAAAGCCCCTGCGATTATCAACAACACCAATAATTGGCAAGTCAAACCATAATCATATTAGATTCCTTAGTAAGGTCAATCATGCCGAATTAATAAAAACTTAAATAAACAGTAACTTCCATGTAATATCAAATAAAATTGCCAACTATCTAACTGTAAATTCATTGTCACTTCAGCAGATTTAATATAACGTATCTAGTAGTCCCAACTTTAGTTGACGTTCGGTAATACTTTTCAGAAATGATTTAGATTGCACGTATGTAGTGGGCTTCATTAAAAAATTCTGTCAGATGCTACTTGAAAGCCAGGTTTCGATTATTCCATTACGCTCCCAGTTTCAAAAACCTGAATATTTTTGAGTGTAGAGATTTAGTTTACCTACCAAACAACTGAAAATATTTCGCAATTTGAATTATCCTGTAAAGAAAATTTACTGATCCATTCATTCAATTAATTTAAACGTTAAGACAGTGTAATGGCTTAACAGATTTAGTCATTTAGTTTTCCTTAAGAACTCATGAAGGAAAAATTTCAAAGAACGAGAGTTTTGTGTGATTATAAATTTAGAATATTTTACAGGAAAGAAGATAAACATGCCAATCGACCTCATTGCGATTTATAAATTAAAGTGATCAGATTTTTAATATGTAAATATACTGAACCCAATTTCAAAGTTGACTAAGATTTACGTAATTAGTCAGCAACATGAAGATTTTATTTTCACTTTTTTAAAAGGCTTTCTTTCATTATTATTTGTAAATTTACCCATTTGAATGGATATTAATAGAATGGCCTAATTAGCTCACATTATTAAATATTTCAAGTCGAGAAATATTTTTTTAAACAGAGCCGAGGACACCGCACTCTACTTTTTAATCGATCATTTTAGAGATAAAATGAGTTACGCAAACATTTAATCAATCAATGATTGGAAATCAGCATTCAGACTATATCAGTCTAATAAATAATAAATTACATGTTCAAAATAGTAACAATAATTCAGTAATACTTTACATATTTCAGACGGTTGAAATAGGAAATAATAACTTCTACTCTGGCAACGGACCAAATGGAAGTCAGTTGATTCCTCTCCAAGAAGAACCTCCTGTAGGCAACGAGGGAGCATTCTCAGACCAAGCAAGTGGTATGTACGCTCATCATTCTCTGGTTCGTGGTCAATACCTCGGCGCCACTACATCAACGCATTCGTTACTTTATGGTTATAGAAGAGAACAAGAACAGTAGGGAAATATAACTTGCATTATGTTTTGGTAACAAAACGGCTTTAATGAAGCACATTTTATGCTGCAATTATTAGTTTTGAAATTCGTTATATAAAAAAATAAGATATAATAAAAAATGTGTTAAAAAATAGCTAGAACTAGAACTACTATACTATTTACTTTTAAGAATATACGTTAGGAATAGGATTGCAATTTTCTTCAAATGCCTCGACTGCAACTCAGCTTATTACGTGATTGAATAATTAGGGAGTCTAACCTTTTCGTAAAAAATAAAGTCTTATGGCATGCATTTTAAAATAACAATAAAGAGTGAAACCGACTAAACATAACCTGTTGAAATTGAATGAGTATGTTTCTTACAACCGAGCATTCGTTACGATTGCCGATGTTTGTAAAATTTACTTGGCAGATTGTGTCGCAAAGTCATTTTCAAAGTTTTACCAGACATATTCATCTTAAAATCTGAACCATTTGTAATTCGAGTTATTGGTGTAATTTCAATAAGTAAACAGTAATCGAGGAGACATTTAGCAAGCAAGAATAAGCAAACCGTCGCATTCTTCTTCATAATTATAAGACTCAGTGAGGTTTAATGCTATAGGTTACTAATTTTAAGCTAAAATTTGCTGTCTAATGTGAACTCCAAAATGAGCAAGTAAAAATTCTAAACCCATTAATTCGAAGCATTATGGCTCCAACTTGTCCAAAGCGTTGAGTTTAATAAATCAACTAATTTGCCGACCAACAATTGATTCCAAGATTAATGCGCGGCATTTACGTATGGATCAATAAAATAGAAATTAGTTTTTCCGTTTTCCGTCAGACAAATATTACCTTGTCATGAATTATTTAATAAAACACTCAGTTAATGTTATTTGCACTTCAAGAACATTTTAAAGGTAGTTATTTAGAAGACAAAAAAATTATTAATTTCTAGACCTCGCAGCTTCAATTATTAAAGATAAATGTCTCAAGAGCGACTCTGTAATATTTAAGTTCCAGCATATATCTGAAGAAGTTGGTACGAGCAAAATATTAAATTTATGAGTAAACCTATATTTAACCGTTGTGAGCAGATAAACGTTAGATTAGCAAATACTAAAACACTTAGAGTAATTTAAATAATTGTTCATAACTTATAAAGTAGATACGTAAGACATGTGGGAATTTCTGCAGAAAAATTTCTGTTCAAAACTTTTACACCTAACATGCAAATATAACCCAAAAGAAGGGGAAACACTTTGCCTATGGTTACGACTAAGGCTCCTATCAAAATTAGACTTTCTTCCCCTTTAACTAATATTTGGTTGCTCTAAGAGACTAAATTTAATATTAATTATTTCAAATGTGTACCATTCTTTTGGAAAGAGAATGAGATACCTTTCGTTTACCTACTAAGAAATATGATATATTGCATTCTAATGGTTTCAGCTTAATTATTGACACTGAGTTTATATTTTATATTCCCTAACGCATGTGAAATTTGAAAATTAAACACAGAGTTGATTCGCAAAATATGATCCAAAAATGTATCTTTCTCTGAAATCATGTTTGAAAAGCAACAGTTGGGCAATTGTACAGATATGGATTTCTGTCCATTAATAATATTATACAATAATCTCTTCCAATAATTATCTAGGCAATGTCAAATTTAGTTAGGCACTTTCTAAACAAATACTTTTCTAATAAAATTCATTTTTTTTTAAATTATAAAATGCATATAAACGAATATTCCGAATAATTGTTTAGCTTTTAAACGCATATTAATATTTAATGTGTATGTCTGACGAGTTAATTTAAGAAACCATTGTAATATTTAAAACCAACTGTGATTTGAAAATCAAAGTATATTTATTCAAAAAACACAAGTATAATCTGATAAGTTAGCCTACATTTAACCGCGTAAGTCGATTTAACAAGCACGTTTTGGTCGTTAGCCTACGGGGCGTGAAAGCACATGGCGGTATGCTTTATTAGCTATATCTTAGTTCTCTTCTAGAGTCACGCATAAAATCTCATAAAATTTCATTTTTTAGACAAAACAACATTTTGTTTTATTTGAAAATGTGACGGGTTACAGTCTTATCCTTGTAAAAGAGTTCGACGAAATTGTCCGTAGATTCACAGCTCACGTAAATTCATTTCTCAAGCCCGTTGCATTTGTACCATTCAAATCTGTTCACGAGGCTTTGGAGAATGTACAGTGTATAAGTGACGGCCGAGTTTCTCCTTTACTATCAGAATTTTTGCGTCAAAACCTCCCAACTAGAGATGCCATTCTCGGCGTAGCTGAGCAGGAACTCGGAGAAAGTATATCGTAAGCAACATATTTGCCTATTGCGCTTCGTATTATTTCGAATCATACTCGATTTTCTATGTGTAGAGAACTTGGTATCGGTTTTGAATGTATATGGGACTCTTCCATTCAAGAAATCCTTCGTATTGTTCGAGCAAACTCCTCAAAGCTTCTACGAACCCTCGTTGTTCAGCCAGGTGGTGTAAAGCCATCAAAGGCCTCCAAAGCTACTGCGGTTCAAGAGACTGTACCCGGTAAGAAGGCGGAGAGACGTGCCCGTTTAGTTGTCGCCCTCACACGTGCAAGGCTTCAGTTGAATCTTGAACAGCATTTAGCAGACACCGGAGTTGTCAAATCCCTTGAACTCCTGGATAGCATGGATTCGAATCTCACGAAATCGGTCAAGCACCTTTGTACTTCCTATGCTGTTCATTTTCCTGAACTTTGTCGCAATGGGGTGTTGGTTGGTGTAGACGATTTCGCTTTCGCCTCTATCGTTGCAAATTGTCCGCTCCGTGATGACCTCGTAAAGGATAAAGGACGACTTTTGGAATGGCTGGGTGGTGATCAAGAGCTAACCGATAAGATCATCAGTCTTGCTAATTCTTCTACTGGTCAGGATCTGGCTCCGGATGATGTCAAGGTTCTTCAACATTATGGACAGTTTCTTCTGAAATTACTTAAGGTATGCGTTGCAATTATTTTCTGCTTTCGCTCTCTTACGAAAGGGTTTCTAGTTTCGTGTTCATCCTTTTAGTCGCGTACAGTATGCTGTGAGTTGTTGGATGCTCGAGTTAGGTCCCTCGTGCCTAATTTAACATCATTAATGGATCAGACTCTTCCCGGACAGGATAAAAATGAAGCATTAGAGCGCGTGAGGAAAGTTGGTGATAGAGTCTCACCTGCAATTATAGCTGCTCGTCTAATTTTGCACGCCGGAACCCTGGACAAACTAGCTAGAATGACTAGTTCCAGGGTTGATTCTCTTGGTGCTTCGAGATCCCTCTTTCGGTAAGTTTCTTTATATTGGAATTTTTTATCTATTTGATCATTTGAATAGGCTTAACGCATTTTCATTTTCTACAATTATGCGATTACATAGAAATGGTCAACTTTATAATTTAATATTTAGAATACAATGTCATTCCTTCCAACCCTTCTCTCATGAATTTTGGCTATGCTCTTTTTAGCTATAGTGATTGTTCTGCTATTTCCTCACTGTTATTGTACTGGTCTTACGATTTCGTTCTTTTTGATCTCTTTAACTTGGAAAGTAAAATCATACAAGATTCCCATTATCGGTTTGTCCTCTTGTTTCAGTTCACTAGTACTTGAAATGAAGGTATTACAGGGGAGCTATCTCTAATATTTGAAGATAAATTTTCATGCTTTACACAGAATTATGCTTATTTTGGGAGTAATTTTGATCTATATTATACTTTTCCTATGCTTTTTTAGTTTGGACCGATAAGTATTACACAGACGTAGTTTAGATATTGTGTTCGTTAAAATTTCAATATTCCAGCTTTCCTATTGTCTTAAATTTTATTGTCAATAGTAATTTTTTTTAATGATTAGTCGTGGTGGAGCTGCTGCAGCGGCAGCTACTGGTCTTCTCCAACGCACTGTATCATTTCCAGCCTCATCTCAGCAACAGCTCCCAAGTGAAACTGTCATTTCTTCTCTCGCGGCAGATATCATTGAAATGAGTGGAGGTCGTCTACATCCGATTGTCGTTCGTAGAAAGGTTGCTCGGCTTCTTGCAGCAAAGTCCACGCTGGCTGTTAGAGCGGATTGCTACCGGCGAATGGACCCGTTTGCCACTGAGAGTCTAGAGGTCCCAGAAAGACTCGAATCGGGGGCCTATGGTGCTTCCCTGGGGGAAGAAACCAAAAGACAACTTAGAGTTTGGGCAGAAGCAAACGGTGTTCATCTGGGGCGAACTGCAGAGGAATTACAGGTTTGTCCTGTTTTATTTTCTAAATTTCTAAGGACATTTGTAGTTTAAACTAACGAAAATATCTAATCTTAGAAGCAACGTGAAAAGCGGAAGAAGTACCGCAAAACGAAAAGAAAGAGGTGGCTAAAGCGCAAATTAGTTGGTACTTCTAATCCTGCACAGTCCACCACGAATGCTGTTCCCGCACCGGTGGTGACTGAGAATGGTGTTTCCATTGGTGATGGTAGTGATGTTGATTCTAACAGTTCTAATGAGGAATTCGAACAAGTCAATGCGAAACGGCCGACTCTGCCTTTTTTGCCTAGTTCAAAACGTGCCAGATCAAAAGAATCATATGAGGATGAAAGTTCTACTATAAATAATTTAAGTAGCTCAACTTTATGTCGTGAACTTGATGAGTCAAAAGCATCAGATGACAATTCGACTACCGAAGAAGAAAGTCTTGAAGCTGAATCAAATGTTAAGTCACGAAAACGACGTGCTCGTGGTGGAAAAACAGCCAAGAAATCAGTAAAACGAGCTAAGATAAGTGAACCCCCTGGACAGCGTGTTCTTCGATCATCAGTTCGCCGGAAGACATCCCTCAAACAATGAGAACCCCTTTTTACCCCTGTGTAAATAGTTTGATTGATTACCGATCTGCGGTAAAAATTCTTTTACAGAATAAAATTCACATTTATTTGACTAGAACGATTAAAGTAATGTGCTTTCTGTTTAAAAGCGCGGTCAGCCATTTTAATCACGCAATGCATTTTATTAAACTGAGGTGGTTTTCCGGGCCACCTCCGAACTGTTCCAGCGAGAGGACATCTGTATCATTTTTTGGAAGGAGAAATCACAGCGTATAGGATGACTAAGGCGAGATCTGATTCATAGGCTGGGTAGTTATACCTTGTTATCAAGCTCCTATGTAACTTTACTCGAATAAAAATTTGTAAAAGTGCGATTACTTCGGGTATGAAATATGCTCGGATACAAAGGGTTATAAACCGATAAGGATTCGCTTCTAATCCTCGATGTAAAAATTAGGTCACCTCTAGGCATTTTCGTGCATATCTGGCATTGAAAGGCAGATTTATTCGCAGTGCTATGCCGTTCAACGAGTACATAAACTGGCAGGTTAGTGCTAAATTATAATTAAATTACGTTGTTACCATGACCAATATGAATTTAATTAGTGTACATTTGTTGCCCGAACTACATTTTACTTCTTAGTCATACATGCTTCGAATATTTTTCATTGTGTAGTGATTACGTTATCCTGGAAATTGGTTGAAGTATCTATAAACA